CCTTTCTTAAGGTTGGTCGCTGAGGATAAATTAAAATTTTATATAAAAATCATATGCATTATAGTAGAGGATGCAATTTTTTTTTGCCTATGCTTAGGTGGTGGCATCAGTTCTCCGAGTCGCGAGCGGCATTAATTGTTGTGTTCATCTACACTTTAATAAGGGTCGCTACCTTAAATAGCGTTATTTTATAAACTTACAACTTGCCTTCCAGTACAAACTAACAAGTTTGCGACGGTCTTTTTCTGTTTGGACGACATAAAGAAGTTACAGGAAGATTTGGGGGGCGGGAACAACTTAATTAAACCTGGAAATGAAGAACCTTAACCTTTTTAAAAAACCAAATGTGCTATTTTAATAGAGATTAAAAAACACTTTTATGTTAAGTACAAGATTATAGCGAAGTCGTAGGACAAATTCTAGACGTTGGTTTAAGAAGACAGCAATAATTACGAAATCACTTTGATATAATAACCGAAATCCGGTTAAGTTTGTCCCTTCTTTGCGCGAAAGATGTCTTTGTGTCATCTCAAGAGGTAAATGGGGTTGTTAACTAAAGTTGTGTTAGTTGAGTTTATAGTGTTTGGAATAAAAAGGTGAGAGTATTGTGAAAAGTTTAATGGTTACGTTTATAATATTATTTTAGATTCTGGTAATCTTTAAGTGTATTTGGATAATTGGAAAGAAAGTTATACTTTAAAACTATTTTGCCAGTTATTTTTTTTAGGGAAAATTAACAATATATAGCGCAATTAATCAAGTAGTGAGAAAAAGTTAAATCTCTAGAGAGCTCGTGTTTACGTGGTCGCCTACCAATACACTAGGGGATATGATCTAATTCTTACCGAAGGCTACATTGAAGAATTGAATATAGCCTAGCTAACATATAATGAGAAACCTGTATTACGGGTTACTGTTATTAGTTTGTAGATTACATTGAAAAATAAACAAGTGTTTATGAGAAGGCTAGTCGTTTAGGAATTGAATTTGATAGAAAGGGTAGGGGGAATATTTAAGTAATAATTGAGGACAGTTTGAGTCACTTGAGTATATGCTAAGAAGGTTAGTGGTGAGAATAAAAGAGAGTTATGAGTTTGAAAGTGGTCGCCGTTCCCTTAATTGAGGTAAAATTAAAGTTAAGAATATGCTCAAGCGGAAAGTACTATAAATCAAGTGCAAAAAGCTTCTTGAGTTTAAATTTACTGAACTACTTAAAGCTTTTGAGGATAAAGATTACACAAGAAAATGAAAAAAAAAGATTTCGGGACTATGTTTAGTTATCTGCGATGTACAAAGGGGCGTAGTAAAGCGACACGGAACCTCAAAAGAGAGGTTAATAAGCCTGAAGAGCGAAGGGGATTAAGTATATCTACATCATACCTCGCCAAAGGCTCTTACCCAAGGGTATTTCTTGGTAGTACTAATAACATAACGTTACTATTATATACCATACTAGTCTGAAAGAAGACGAGTGTGGTGAACATTACTTCCCTCTGGGTATTAAAATGCACTGAGAAGTTTAAATCAGTTTACGCTGGACCAAAAAAATCCACATGTTACCCTGAACGATTTTCTGGTAAGCACCAAAAATGTACATGAGCAAAGTCAAGGAGTATCATTTGGTAAAAATTTGAAAAAAGTGTAAATTATGTGAAGAGAGCGGTAAAGTAGTTTATAAGAGCTTCTACTAAGAAAGCATAAGAATGGAGGGCAAACAGAATTTAGGTATTTAGATATACGAAGGTCAAAATAAGTAGGAATAAATGATTTTATTTCTAGTTTTAAATTACTATATAACTTGCCTTCCTCAGAGTGTTATTATACTGGAACCATTGAGTATGTTATTAAAAAAAATTACACGACATCTAAGTGAATAAAGTGCAATGCGTTGAATTTGTGGATTTCCAAATAATGTAGGGATGGGCAATGTTGTTTCAGTGTTACGAGAAGAGAATGCATTTATAGATTTTGTGTGAAGTTTAGCGAGGCTCAAAAAGAGTAAAGCGTCCTAAGCCAAAAGGCGTTTGCGATTGCAAGGGTGTACTGTTATAGTAAATCTTATCAAATTGAGCAGTTGGCGGTTTTATGTAGAAACTGATAAAAGGCTTCTCGGATTGTTCAAAAATGAAGATTAGTGTGACACAGCTGAAGGGAAATGGATGCATTGCAACAAATAAATTGGAGTTCTGGAGTTCTTCGATAATTTAAACGTAGTTTCCAATAGAAGGCTTTTTTACAAGTGGCTCTAAGGTTAGCCTTTCATAGCTGATTTGTATAAATTTATTAAAAAACGCATTTAATTAAAATATCTATTATGATTAGCTTAATCTGCACTAAGTTATATAAATTTGGGGGCGGACTAGAAGCCCTGAAAGGAAAAAGATCCATTAAAAAGGAGCGGTGAACCACATAAAAGGCAAGTTGCATTTATATTATAAGCTAGTACGCAGCGTTTGACTTTTTCTCCCTAGCTTGTGTTACTCCAAAATATTAGGTAATTTTATTGACCATCTATACTAATGTATGATTAGAATATAAAATTAGGTTTAAATTTTAGTAGTATATTTATATATTTATACTATATAAAATATTATACCTTTTTTGTTTAAAGATTATCGAAACAAAATAACTTTATATAATGTAATTCCATTTTAAAAAGGTTATATTTGTTTAATAGTGGGCACTTTTTCAGTACCTCTCTAATGTTAGGCTTTCATTGCTGATTGAATGCATTTATAAAAAAATGTATTTAATTAAAATAGTCAATTGTAAATTAGATTAATATGGGTTAAATTATCAATTTGGCAGGTGGAAAGTTTAAACGTAAAGTGGATCATAAATGCGTGGCGGGCCACCTAAAAGGGAAGTTGCCGTTATATTTTGAGCTAGTAAGCAGCTTTAAGACTTTTTTCTTTTGCGCTTGTGTTGCCTTATAACAACTGGTTATATTATTCATCTGTACTAATGCGTAATTAGAACATTAAAGTAGTTATAAAAAAAAATTAGTAGTATATTTATATATATAATATATAAAATATTATGTCTTCGTTGTTTAAAGATTGTCAAAAATAAATGACTTTTTATAAAAGTTAGGAGACCTGTCAGCAATAATTGATAAAGCATTTGTAACTTTTCAATCAAGATTACTATGGAAAGCAACTAACATTCTTTGACGTACTTCTTCTTTCCTCATATCTAAACCTATGTTTCTTTTATAAGGAAATTTACGTTTTTTAAACGAGTATTTCGTAAAAGTAGAGTTTCATAAATTTAAAAAACAAAAGAATTGTAGTTGAGGCCGATAACTTGGACGTCTCTCCCGCTGGTAGCCGTTAATTTTTATTCAATTTTAACATTGTTTTTCGCTTTTACTACACATACTGTACTGATTTTTAACCTCCATGCATTTGAGTAGAGTAACTACACACGCAGCAAAGTCTTTTGGAGAAGTAAATAATATAAGTGAAGCAGAAAACCAAGGGGGCTGTACTCATATAGAAAGGACTCCTATTTGGGGGTATAATTACTTGCTTACCATTGTTGGGCTTATTGGAGTCTATGATATGAATAGGAGTGTAAAATCATTACAAACTTTGTTTTTTATTTTTAGCATTAACATTTTACGGCCGATCTGCCAAAGGGCATTTAATCTCTAAATCTAAATATTCCTTTCTAAGTAGGAGTTGAAGCACTAGGGCCCACTAGTATACGCACCTGAAAGAACTATAATAGCTCTTTCGAAGAAATGAAACCCAAAATTTTTTAGAAAGATTAAAATGTATATATAAAAATATTGAACAAAGATTTATGTGACTCGAAATGCACCAGTTGAAGCAGTCAAGAAAATGCAAAAGGTACTAGGATTGGAAGGTCCACACGACTTGACCGAAAAAAAGAGATCAAACATGTGCGTTAAGGCATTTACAAAGCAAACTTGCACGTAATTCTCGCACTAAAAGGACGGCTAGTGGGCAAAAGGTGGCGATATGAACGAAGGTGTATATTAAATCTGACTTCCGAGAATTTGGGCTCCTATTAGGGCAATAGTCACTTAAACCTTAACGGCTGAAAAGGTAATTTGAGAACAACCTCCCTATCTAACAGTTTTAAAGTTATAAAACAAACTAAGTTTAAACATTTTGTAAGTTGTAATTAGATAGTCTACCTTTTTTCTGTTTAAACTCAAATATTATAACTGTGTTACCTAAGTTTACTGAAACTACCATATTTATAGTAATTTAATTACAATTATACATTAATGATCAGTGTGGACCTTTAGTCAGCAAATTTTTTAACTTATTAGAAAGCAGAAAGTAAATAGAAAACAAATAAACATAAATTATTTTAATATTTAATAAAAAAATTTATATTAATGTTTTTCTGCTTGCATATTGTTCTTGTGTGAAACTTTTTATTGCACTTGCTTCTGTTAATATATAAAATATTTCAATTACAAATAAAAAATTTCGGGAGGACTAGTTTACAATAAACTTTCTAATAGCTTATTATTAAATAACTTTAAGATAGCCTTGTAGCAGAGGATTAAGCTATTTATCTCTGCTTATTTTAAGCAATATACTTAAAATGACTAATTTTTTTTATAGTTATTATCACAGTATTCTGTTAATAAATGTAGAGTTATATGCACTAAATAAGCTTTTTAATGAAAAAAGATAGTTCAAGTCAATTATTCGACAGTATTTTATATAGAGGCAATTTAATTTAAAGAATTTGTTATAATAATTCCAACTTTTCTTAATTCCTCTTATAATCGTGTATCAATAAATTGGAATAATAGAAGTTTAAATAAATTCAGTATTTTAATTTCCTGAAAAAGAGTCCCCGAAGAGAGCGTTAACGAAATTTTGCTAAAGCTTGGGTAGGGTTTTTCGCTTTTTAGTAGCAAAATAATGTATAGTTACAATTACGTTAATGCAAATCGCACAAGCACTAGAGGACAGAGGACAGTTTTATAAATTAAGTTTTCGGGGACGGGAATCGGTGTTATGAAATTTTTTAATTTTTTTTTAACGGGGAGGGGAAAGCTACCGGCTTTCATATCCATTTTAAGTTTCTGGCTCAGTAGTGGTACTTTTCTTTTATATCAATTAAGGATATTTTAAACGATTAGCTTTTCATTATATAAGAGAAACAACTTTTATGGCTCCATTAAATACTGCAATAAAAGGTCTTTTTTATTAATAAACAATCCAGTTAATTTAAATAAATTTAATTTAAGAGCTTAACGTTTCAGTATACTTCCTAAAAACTGCTTATTCCCACTTTTTAAGTCATTTGCGAATAAGAGGTATATTATCATAGTTTTCTATTAATATTTTTTTTTAATTATGTAACATTGCTTTAGTATTTTAAAAATTTTTAAAAAAGGAAGAAGGATTTTATATTAACGTAACGAACTTAAAGTAATCTTAACATGTTTACTTTAGTAATAATTTAAAATGTAACGGATTTATGTTTTTTAAAAACCAATAAACTGAGGTAAGGTTAATAAATTTAATATTACGTTCAACCTTTTCTTTGCAGAAAGTAAGTTCGAAGAAAAGCTCTTTTTCCTTGCTTGCGTTAGCACGTAAGGTAATTTTATGAATAATATTAAGATTTAAGACTATTAGATCAGTCGAACTAATTCTTTTTTTTTTTAACAACTTTTACTTATTTTTTTACTCCCGACACAATGTTTTAGATTCGAAGGTTATAAAGGCAACAATATGCCTCATTTTAAAAAATTGCTTTGGCCCAAAATAATTCACTTTTTTTTTAATATTAAGTTCTAGATTTTATATGCCCTAATAATTAACTAACGCATTATTATAATCAGGTTAAAATGTAAGAATTATTAAAGTACGTACAGCTTAATAGTTCGAGTTACTTATTGTCATAGTTGTTTTACTGAAGAATATGAGAAAATAGTAATATGCTTTAAGCTAAAGTTTCTTCTAAGCACTTATGTATTTTAACTAAGTGAAGCGCGTTGTTAATAAAGCTTATAATAAAAGTATAGTGAGTAGAGCAGAAGTTTAGCATATACTTGCAAAACTTTTTCTTTAGAAAAAATTTTTACTTTTTGCTTTATTTCTTAATAAAACGAGTTGTTTATAACACTTACAACAAAAGATATAAAACCTTTTGCCTTTTTAGTAAAAATTAGTAAACCACTCTTTCCTTATCATAATTATTAATAAAACGAATCATCAATAAAACTTAAAAAGAAGTATAGTGAAATAAAGCAGAAGTTAAGCATATACATGTAAAGTTTTTATTTCATTATTAAAAAGAAATAAACCTTTTGCTTATACCATTATTATTAATAAATTGTTATTTAAAAACTTATAAGAAAAGTATACTAAGCTTATACCTTTCTTTTATTAAGGGGTATTTCCGGGTGCTCGATAGGGTCGAAAAAGGGGAACAACAAATTTACGAGCTCTCAACAGGGTGATAGCTTGCACATTGACTTTAAGCTTATTTATTTATTTATTGCACTAGCATGCTACAAACGTTATAAGTAAAATAACTTAAACTGCTTGATCTGCATTCTCCGAAGTGAGAGGGTTCGAAAGGGTTCTCTTCCTGCAAAGATGCTGCTTTTAAACCATGTCCATGAAGTAAAATTGCCAAAATAATAATTACTTAATGAGGACAACTTTCTTTTCCAAAATTTTAGATCATGTGAGTAAGCCTTCATTTGCTTTACGAGTATTACATTATTGACATAGGTAGCATTATTATTAATTTATTATTATTACTATTTGTTCACCACTATTTATCAGAATTATTATTTTATTTTTTCAGTAAAATTTTGCATTTAAAGTTATTATCGGCCATGCTAAGGAAATGTTTCGTCGTCTATATTTAGAAAAGTGAGAGGGGTCATACTTTAGGGAATTAGCTAGTATTCTATTACAATGATTTTCAGATGTTTTTATGAAGTCCTCAGCTAAGCGCTTAGTAAACTTCAAAATTGTACCAGTTTGCATTCACGATGTAACTGGGAGCGTCTTATATACCAAGGAGCTCCTGTAAACATTCTTAAAAACTTATTTTGCATAAGTTGCAGTCTATTATATTGGAGGTCGAGGAATGGGCCTAGGGTACTGACGAATAACTCAATACTGGTCTTAAAATAACTTTAGAGATTATTAGTTTGTTATCAAGGTTAAACCACGATTTTTGCTTAGAAGAGTATATAAAGCGTGTATCGTATTTCTAAATTACTTAAACCAAGTATTCAATGAGAGCCTTCCAAGTAAGTTTGTTATCAGTAATAACCCCAAGGTATTTGACTTGGCTACCAGGCGAGAAAAAGAAATAACTCTTGTAGTACCCGTTTCTTTCTTTCTTCGAGATAAGCACGGCGTGGCTTTTTAAAGGATTAACGGTTACTTCCACGTTGTTAACCAACCTCCAGATAAGTTAAGATAGGATGCATATATTTGATTGAAAGAGGCGGAGATTTTGAGCTGCTGTATAATCGGCATTCAACGCCAAGGAGGTTTGAGCGGTATGGGGAGGTATGTTAGACATGTATGATGAGATTAAAGAAGATAATTAAAACCCCTTGGGGCCCCAGCGATAAGTAGTTTGGTAGCTGATAGTTACGTTCCTATACAGACCGAAGGATTTACTGCTGGTGTATAATTTTATTATTCGTATCATGAACGCGGACAATGCACATCTGACCATTTATATATGAGCCCCTTATTGCCATACCTTGTCGAAAGCCTTCGGTATGTCTAAAAAAACCATAAGAGTAGCATTTCTTTTTATTAAGGGTATTAGTTTCGCTTCCAGTTAACCTTATGATCCGTTAAGTGGTAGAGTGACCTCTTCGAAAACCAAATTGATGGGCTGGAATAACTTTAATCATAAATAAATTTTTGCAATGTTAAAAGAAGTACAACAACTTCGACTTTTCTTAAGCAGGAAAGTAGGCTAATAGGGCGATTACCTTTAGAGTAATTGCTTGGACGAGATATTTCGGGATAAAAACAAGTTCAGCTTGCTTCCATCTTATAGGAAAATAACCATGCGTAATAAACTAGTTAGTGGGCTCTGTAAGGTAATTAATTGCGGTTATAAGAAGATTTTTAAGCATTTAATTTGAAATTTTATCAGGGCCCAGGCTCTTCCTAGTGTTAGGTTTATCGATTATAGATTATTTTTCATTTTTAATTAGTAAGGAAAAAAAGTGAAATTTACTCTTGGATGTGTGCTTCGTGTTTGTTCTCTAATAATGGTGTTGTACATTGTCTACGTTAAATTTTAGCGGGTTAGGGTAAAGGTTTGGTTAGGGTTAGGGTTACGGAGTTGGCGTAGATAACTTCCTCGTTCTTAATGATAGGGACCTTGGACCATTTTTTCCAGGTTTGAACACATTTGCCTTTTTCCACAAACGTTATCCGTAGGCTTTAAGGATTGCAGTTTTTGTTTCCATGTTATTTTTCGTAAAGCTTGCAATTCTTGTTTAACAAACTTACTTAACTTTTTTTTAAAAGCTAATTTATCACTAGGGGGCTGCCATTCCATATACTCTCTTTTTAATCGTCTTTTAATAATTTCTTTAGTGTGAACAGGAATGATTTTACGCTTATATTAAAGCAATCTCATATATATTTATATTTTGAACATAGAGCAACCCTAACCCATATTATATATTTCGTCCATTGCAAGGTGGCGATAGCGCGCGACGGCCCAGATTTCGTATTGACCTTAGCTGCCAGTAATCAGTTGGTGTGCTCATTAAGCTGATCGTAGGTTGCGATAGCATAGGGTCGAAAAACATTACCCAGAGGTTCAAAGTCTTTATGTAAGGCATCGTTGCGAACAAACCTCGGCGCGCCCGTCATAAGGCGTAGCAGCTTGTTTTGTCTCACTTGATGCGAACAGATTATTACCGGTGGCACGTAGACTCAGGCATTGCCGCGTATATCATGATTGGCGGATACACAACAAACGCAAGAGCGTCATCGTATTGTGCAGCGAAAATTTGCTTCGGGCTCAAACTAAAGGTTAAGAGTTTAAACCTTCGCCTCGATATAGTTTACGTGCGGTTGCTACGAGAGCTTACAGCCAATAATAACCTCCAGGTATTTCGCATGAAAACATTAAGGAATTACCTTGTTTTCAAATTCAGCGGCGGTATGGGTGTAGTGCGCTTTTTCCTGATAAAAAGGGCTGTGTTCTTTTCTGCATTAATATTAATTTTCCAACGGCGCACCAGTAGACAAGCGTCGCTAGGTAGTACCGCAGATGCTGGCGAAATAACAAGTAAATCGTCGTATCGTCCCACATATAAAGCAATCTGCGCGCATCGCCCACACGTATATCAAAGACGGGGTCTTTAAGATAAGATTTCATCATTTTAAAGAGAATAGTAGGAAGGACTACGGCGCCCAGTTTGTTAGCAAGCTTTTGTGCCAAACTCGGTCAAACGCTTTTTCGACATTAAGACGGCGCCCGTTGCCTTCTACAAAGTGAATGCACGGGTCCTCCATTCTCTCATGCGAAAGGGTTGTGGAGTCGTGGAGTGTCCTCGTCGATATCCTTTTGGAACTCTAGCAGGGCGTAGCTTCCACCAACAACTGCTTTCAAGCGGGGTAGTATGGGACAAGAGACTGATAGGCCTGTGGGTTTGGTGGACGCTGGTCGTGTTGTCTTCGGGAGTATCACAAATGTTGCCGTCTTTAAGCGCAATGGGAAGGTGCCGAGAGACATCGTAGAGGTGGTTAAGCAGTATAGACGTTCTATCACCACCAATGATATTGCTTTGATATCACGATGGTGTTACCATCGCGACCCAGCGCTTTTCGTCACGGTAGAGTGTTAATAATTATTATGATTTTGTCTATAGTGATTGGCTTAAGCTGTTTTTCTCAAAAGAATTTGAGACATACATAAATTAACTTTTTATTAGAAATATATAGGAAATCAAATATACTCTGTGAGTTTATTAAATTCAAGTTTAATATATTTATCTACTAACGAAGTTAAATGTCCGTTTAGTAAAATCGACACAACGTTATAAATATATATATGTAATTATGGAAAATAACAGTGATACTATTGAGTTTATTAAGTATTACCTTAACTTTTTTATTAACTATTAAATCTTAATGTTTTTTTACAAATTTAAAATAACCTTATATTATAAAAATTATATTTTATACTACATGAATCTCTTAAGTATTATTTTGATTGGTTTCCTTATTATAAAATCTAATTTTCCGTTTTATAAATAACTTACCGTTATTATAACTTACTTGTAAAAGAAGTTCAATTATACTACTGGAGATTATTAAGTATTACTCTAACCGCTTCAACCACTAACAATTTTACTTGTTTGTTTTAAAATTCAAACTCAATCTTATTAAACTATAACTATAAAAGAGAAAAATTTTACTTGTAGAATTTAATTAGTATTATTTTCAGCGGGTTGATCAACTAAAATAAATCTAATTTATATTAAAAAAATTAACTTAACATTTAATATATTTATAAAAAGAAAACAATTTACTACTCGAATTTGACTGTTTTATCTACTGACGATGTTAAAGGTCCATTCAAAAAAATAAACGCAACGCTATTAAATTTTAAATATAATAATAAATAATTTACCAAATTAAGTTTATGAATCATTAAATTAATTGTCACTCACAGATTAATCTAATTGTTTGTTTTAAAAAAAAAAAAGAACTTAACTGATTGAGATTTCCTTGGTTTTTAACTACAAATTATATATATTTTAAAATCTTCGTTAAAAATATTTCGACAGATTATTTTCTCAATTAAGTAAACCTTTTTATAATTTTTGTAAGATGTAAAGATGAAACCCGTCAGTTCTTCAAAATTAGATGAGTACAAACCGTTGCTTATAAAAATTTATCGTACTAAGACTGCTAACTAAAATTACTAAATTAACTCTAAAATTTAATATAACTAACAAAATTTTGGATTAAAATTATATTTAAAAGGCTAAAAAATTAAACAATTTTTAAAAAAAAAAATAAGGAAATTTTATTATTTAAAAGCGGTTTTGCACTTTACTGCTTATATATATATATTTCTTATTTAGCCTTCCTCAAAAGGAGGCGGGTACTGTGCCTTTTTTAAAAATAATAAGTTTACAATTTTAATAGAACTAATAAAATCAAATGTATGTTAAAAAAAAATTCCAGTTGTAACTAATGAATATCTATAAAAACTATAAATTTATAATACAATTATAATTTTATTTTCTACTTCTTTTCTAGTACACAAATCGGCAAAGGGAGCTGCTGGCGTGACTTTTTCTTTTAAAAATATAGAATCAAAAAAGGAAAGAAAGGTTAAATTTTGACTAAGTATAGAATTGCGAAGTTAAAAAAACTTTATTACACCAAAAAAAAAAATTATTTCGCTTCATAAATATTAAACAACGTATAAACTTTCTTCTACTCGCAATAATAAGTAACAAGACAAAAATAATTTTAAATCCAATTTCTTTATAATAATTAATTTTTTCAAGAAAAAGTAAAACTTTTCTATTGTACTTTTACATAAATACTAAAAATAGTAGTGATAATAAATTTATTAATATAAATTTAAACCACAAACAAATCCTCTAGAAATAAAACCTTTTTAAACTGTAAAAAGTAAAAACACGCAACTTAAAGGTAACTTTTTTTCTTATATTTTTTATATTTTGAATAAAATATAACTAAGTAAAATAAAAAATACCTAAATAATTGTAAACTATTTTATAATATAAAAAATTATAAGAAAAATTATTTTTTAAAGACTTAAAAAAAATTTTTAAATAAATATTTTATTCATCGCACAATAATGGAAAAGCAATAAAATTAAAAGTAAAGTAGTAATAAAAATAAGTAAAAAAAAATTGACTAAAACTATATTAAAAAAACTAATAAATTGTTAAAGCGAAAAATAATAAACTTTATAATACTGTTGCAAGTAGCAACCTCGAGGGAAAAAAGTTCTTAATCCGCTTACTAGCTTAAAATATTACTGCCACTTGTGTTATAGCTGGTCCACCCACGCATTTTTATAGCCCACTTTCCTTTTAAGATTTCCGTTTGCCAAATTAATAATTTTAGCGTAAACTAAACTAATCACAATCGAGTATTTTAATTATACTCATTTTTTAACAAATTCGTTTAAATAGCAATGAAAGCGTAACCCCAGAGGCGCCTGAAAAAGTGTTTACTACTGATGCACTCCGTGGGGATCCAAAAAAAAATATGTTTGCTGCAATATCGAAAGACTTCAGCTATATTTTTTTTTTGCCAATATAATGCTATGAAGAACTGAAGAAAAGTTGGTTAAAAAATGAACTACCTGAAGCCGTTTTTTACGATTCTAAAAATTTTACACATGGAGAAAGAAGCTTTTTTAAGCAAGTTCGGCTATAACACGCCAGAAGCCTTTTGGAATATATATTTTGAGATGGTAAAATTAATCCTCAGAAGAAGAGCATCGAATGCTACAAAGAGTAAACTTCTGGGCGTGGTGCCGTCCAAGTCGCGCTTCTGAATTTGTTTCGCAAAAGTTTGTAAACCCCCCACCCTCAGTATGAGGCGAATACCCTTCAAACTTTAGTTGAAGTCACGACCTCTTTTTCTTATTTTTCGCCTATTTATCATCATGTAGTGGGGGGTCTAGAATATCTACAGTGAGATTCCCTGGAGTCACCAGAAAACGCCCATAACTTACAGTGTAAACCTCACTCCCACAAGGCAAATGCTTGTATTATCCAGAAAGGATATAGTTAAAGAGAGCCCTCCAAATTTTGCTTTTTGTCTCCTCTGCGAGGAGTAATTAATAAAAAAATTGAGAAAATATATAAATCCTAACTTTTTACTTAAGGCAACCTTTGATCTCTATGTTTAACTCAAGAATAAGGCCGCCTAGAGGAATATTAAAAGTGTTCCTGTCAACCTCGCTGAAAGGAGCCTTCTAAATCAAAGGAAACGTAAGCAAGCACAAAGTATACCACATAAAGCAGTAAACCCCTCATTGAATAGATAAACTTCAGGTGGATCACTTTTACTATTTACCTTTATTATATATATATTACGATGAATACTGTCATTCCTTTTTAAGACCTTTAACGAGTTTTCTTAAAAAAAATTGCTCCCTTTCGTAAGTAATTTTCGATTGATTTTTTTTAAAGTTAAATAAACTATAATTCTTTTTTTTTTTTATGGTTTTGTATCTTATTCTCGGTAGGTATTACTGCACCTCTCCAGAAGAAATTATTACAAAACTAAAGCACCTGTTTATGAACCAAAAATAGTCCTATTATTGCTTTCGAAGCTATTGTTTTAGCTTTTCTTATTAATATTTTCCAGTGATCTCTAAAAGTAACTTTAGGGGTTCTCCGTTTTACAAACTCAAATTTGTTGGAGTTTTTCTTAGCAGAACTAAATTTTCTTTTTATTTAACTAATTCCTTATAAGTTGAAAAGCAATTAAAATGTATTATTTTAACTTGAAAAAATAATAATCTTTTTTGTGATACCGTTTTTTATTAATCACTAGTTTAGCTTTAATTAAAATTTTTTTTGTTCTGCAATTTTTATTATTTTGTTTTCTTTCAAGTTTTTATCTTTTATCTAGTAAAATAATCCTATATTTTAACAAGAAACCATTATTTTTAAAGCTTCGCGACTACACTCACGCATTCAAAAAACAAAATATATATTCTCTAGTTAATAACCTTGTCCTAATTTTGTTTAACCTTTTTTAAAGTTAGAGTTCATATCCCAAATGGTTATAAGTCGGCGCTAGGCGTCACTTTTAAATAAATAAAAAAAATTAAAAAGTTAGAAGTGCAACTATGAGCTTTCATGTTTAACGTAAAGCTCTTTATCTCTGTTTTGTAAATGTGAGAGAGCTTAATAACAGATATAGGACTCGTTTTTCAAATAACTTTTAAAACTTCAAAAGAGGAGCTGTGATTAACTGGAATTGCTTAATTATATACTAATGTTTATTTTAAAAGTTACAGTAAAAGGAGCAAAACCTAGGTGTCTAAAAGAATTTCCCAGCTTACGGAAGAAGGGTAACACAAATTACACGCCAAAAAAATTGCCACCGCTATGTGAAAGGTACAATATATAAGCGACCTCGTTATTAAGTGCTTCCCTTTAGTAAATGTAAATTTTTCTAATTAAAATTTGGATTTATCCAGAAAATTAGTCAGCCCCCGTTTATTAGTTTAATTAAAAAATGTGATCAACTTTAACCCTAGAAGGGCCCGGAGAGGACCTCCATGTATTACATATATATTAGCAGACTACTATTAACTTATAGTAATTCAAAGTTTAAATTACAATTATATATATAGGCATTAGGGTTAATATTAGGTGGTATAAGCACTCTTAGAAATATTAGTGGTATTAGCAAAAGAATCGGTATAATATACATTTCTAAGTGCAACACTAGCTAGTGAGAAAAATGGAAAGCCGTAATACTGCTAAGCAACTTTTTATTATAAACGCAACTTGTCCCCCACCCAATACTGCTTTTTTACCTGAAAGGCACTATTTTAGCCGGGCACGCTTAATTACTGCGGGGGAGCGGCGCGGTATTATATATAGTACTAGTACCTAGTACCTACCATAGTAAAGACACTATTATCCCTAGCCCGGCACGAAGCCGGAACATAGCGCACCGAAGCCGCTCGAGAAACCCGAAGCAAACACCGGTGATAGTGTCTGCACTATGACACGACGCAGCAGCCTGCTGCCACCGAAGGGCGATCCCCATTACCTTAGTTTATCTCCTCTGGGGTTTTTGTCAGATAATAACCTTTCCTAAAAGGGTCTTTGTAACCCATCTCGTAAAGTATAATATTGGTGTATTCAACTATGGGACCACGTGGGTACTTTGGTGCGGAAGTGATGTCCGGCAAATCAGTCAGGGCATGGACTACTTCATGCATATACAATCTTTGAAAACTAAATCGGTAATACTTATCTTCTTTTTCATCCAAATAATAACCTAGTTTCTTTTCATCATAATTTAAACACAGCACAGGATTTTTAGAAGGCACAAAACTATTGTCTTTTGCGGAATAGAAAGATTGTACACAATAAAATTGTTCGAACTCAGGCACAAGAGCAAACTTCTTTTCTAAATTTTTATCTCCTAGAGAGACAGCATAGTTAAACAAACGCCTAAAAGTAGGACTTTTCTTGTAAGCTTTTAGCAACAACGGTTCAAGAACCTCAAATTCTTTTGTTTCGGTAATAGGCTTGGGTATCTGAGGAGGCTGTCCTTCAACAGTCCCCGTCAGCTCTTTTAACATATACTCTGCTGGCGAGGAACCCTTTAAGTAGTCCGTGTCATCATTAGCTACATGGTCGTGAGCTAGCAAATACTCATCTGGTGGGTCCAACTGAGTCCGTAATGATTTGTATTTCCCAGCAAGCTTTTTATATGAGTTTAGCGCCTTAATTTGAAATTCCGAATAGCGGTAGTTATAGCTTGTTCTCAATGGAACGTCAATTTTCATTTCACTGAGAACAATATTAGCGTAGTTAACAACAAGTTCGTGGAGTGCCCCTAAAGAATTTTCAGAATGATAATCAATGAGAAGCGCTGTAATCATCTCATTCAAAATAGCGTGCCTTCTTGTATAAAAAGCGAGATCTTCCCCGCTTTGGTATAAAAGGCGACTGGTCGCCTTTATATTCATTCCTATGGTGCGCTTACCATCAAAAGCTTCCTTCAAATCCTCAGGGGTAACTGTTGTTCGAAAATGCTCATTTGGGGCAATCAACCAGCGATTCTCCGGAGTGTTAAGGCTTTTATCACAAGCATAATTGAATAATCGCCTAAAAGTAGGGCTCCCTTCATAAGCTTCTTTTAATGTAAATTCTAATGCCTTATATTCTTTATAATGCCAGTTCCAATTATCCTGCTTTTCTTTTACTCTACCACTAAAGTAACTCATTTCCTTATCTTTAATAAATGTTGTAATAATATTTCCTTCTTTGCCTTTAAAACGGTTAGTAAGGTCATTCGCCTTAAGATCATTTTCTATAAGAGCAGGGTGAGGATCCTTCTCCAACAGTGCCTTCATTCCAGCAGTTGTAGTTTTATATAGCTCATCATAATAATGACCCGCTTTGTTACCTGTAGCAAAATCTAGAGTCTCTGGTCGCGCATCACTGAGCCCAGGCAAACCCTCCGTTGACTGCTGAAATGTTTTTTTGCTTGATCCTTCAACTAAAGTAAGTTTACTTTCCAATACAACTGCGGGATCAGCGGTGCTTGTTCCAGGCAGTCCCAGTTTTGAAGAGGGTTCACCTTCCTGTAATCCCGGTAGCTTAGGCGGTTTTGTTGGACTTAATGGGTAACCCAGCTTGCCATTTACACGCTCTAAACGTTTAAACAGTTTAGTCGCTGGCAGTTCTTGGATTTCGTAACTTACTTTCGTCGTTAAAAGTGAAGTTCTTAAAAAACCAGCCCCCTCCGACACCGCCCCAAAAATCGCGGGTAAACTCATTACTATGTCCATTCCGGCGGCTACAGTCATTTCCCTTCTCTCCTTTTCCATATCTCCATTAACTGCAAGGTTAATCTCTAACCCCAGGGTTGGTGCCAACAAAGCTATGTTAAGAATAATACCTATAGGGCCTGCTACCATCAAGGGTATGGCAAGTATCATGTTAACAAGCTGAAGTTCCCCCAACATAAATTGCCCAAACTTTTCACCATCATCCGTAATTATTATGTCAGCATCATTGAATCCACGATTTTTAGTTTGCAACGCAAGCTCATCAAACAAGTCACACGTTATTTCAGTGCCATAGCTTACAGGGAGCGATTTATCGCCCTCCGCTATCTCCAGCAAAGTTGCAGCTATCCCTTTAGAAAAAACCCCGTTTTGACGGTCGCGCTCAGAAAAATGACGGGCTAAGAGCATCCGCTTCTTTAAATCTATTGATTGTTTAAAAACCCAGTTCCGCTTTATGCGAGCGTCCTCTAAAGTGTAAAAACGCTGAGGACTATCTGGCATATAAATTATCTCACGTTTATCCTCTAAAGTAAAAACGAAAATATCCGTGGCTAGTAAATTATTGATTTCCAGGTGACGCACGTCAATTGAAGGTGTTTGAGTCTTATAAAGATGTGCCATAGTGATATATTCGTTCAAAAAAAACTCATCATCCACTTTATTTACCGCAAAAGCACCCGCAACACCATTTAGTAGGTATGTGCAGCCGTCTTTACTAAGGAAACCTCTGTTAACAGCCCAAATGGCGGAACGAATAAACTCGGCCTTAGCCGAAGCGCGCCAGTTATCACGGTGTGCACTCCAAAAGGCGTTTAACTTATTTTTCACATGTTGGTAAAAATTTAACTGCCAAACTATTACCTTCAACTGGGAGGGAAGTAGGTTATCTAGTTTTTCAGTATCATCATAACTCTCACATCCCGGTCCGAAACGATAAACACCATAATCTCTATCTGGATCTGACCAGAAAGAAAAAGTCGGGAAGTTGGAAAATGCTAGACCCGTCAACGTCGTTGACCATTCCGGCTGATCGTCACGTTTTCCATTCCCAAAATAGTTAAGATAAACTTGGTCTGGATTTAACTCCGCCCCAGTTTTTTCTTTAATACTTTCCTGCATAAGCTGGCGGGCCATTTGAGTTATGTCCGGAAAAGCTGACATAACGCTGTTTCTTAAATGCAAAAACAATGCTAAGTTAATGCAGTTTGCACCTACCCGTTTTGCAGCCTCAACATCGGGCAAATTGTTATCAAACTGCGTTCTAACCGGCACGGCCAAGTTCATCTCTTTAAGAATTATATTGGTATATTCAACTATAGGCCCTCTTGAGGTTCCGTCCGACATATCCCGTAGCCCCGTTAGCGCTTTAACAACTTCACGCAGGTACAATCGTTCAACTGAATAAGGAACCAAACAAGGACCACTTTGATAGTACGTTTTGTTCAATATTGCCCCCATGTCTGCATATAAATCAATAAGCCTTACACCTTCGGCAACCCGCTCTCCTGTAGCAGTCGTTTGAGATGAATCAAGCAACAGAATACCTAAACGATTATCAATATCTTTTAGCCAATCATCGTATGCGTAATTAAATAAGCGGCGAAAAGTAGGGCTTCTTTTATAGGCCTCGGACACATTTTTACGTAAACCATTAATACATTTATCATATTCGTGATTATCTCCCTCTAAACGTTTCGTATTTATATACCCCTCTTCAAGTGAATACCAAAAATTGGAGCTAATAAGATACTGAACTAAATTTTCTTCCTTTCCGACATAACGATTAGCCTCATCTATAGCCCATTTGTCATGATTCACTAAAAGAAGATCGGGTTGTAGAAACTGCAATTCCAAATCAGGGAACCGCCTTCTTAAATCTAGGTAATAGCTTTTTTGCTCTAAACGAACTTTCTCAGCTTGAGGTGCTTTACAAGTAGTTATAACTCTTGAAGTCTTTCTAATAGAGCTGTTAAAAAGCTTGCTTACCTTCTGAAAAAAAGTATCCTCTCCATTGTTAAATGGCAAACGCCTTTTTGCTGTATCTTTCAAGGAAATCCAAAGGTAGTCTTTACCTAAAGAAAGATTACCAACGTGCTTGGCTATTGCGTGTGAACCTCCTATAGCTTCCCAAATGGGCAAAAGCGGGCCTGCGCTCCGAACTATAATTTCATAATAAAAAAGCTGGCTCTCCTCCGGGGTTTTATAAATAATGTTATTTAGTCTTTCGTAAAACTTTAGAGAATATACTTTAGTATTCCGTGCA